TGAATGTAGGAACTACAAACAAGACTTTATCCAGTATGATCAGGACAATCTCTCTGTTCTTCTGCTTCTCGTTTATTACAATTGAGATCTAAAAATGTAAATCAGGGTCAAATGCAGAAACAAACAAACAAAAACATAAAACCACTGAACCCACATCTTCACCCTCTAAACAAATACTAGCAAATACACCTGCCAGTCCTTTTCAAACTGCTGAGTAAACCACCATTTCAGATCATCCTTTCTCTTGTATCTAATTGTAAACATAGCAGTAATCTGTTTGTCATTATTTACTACAAATGTACACAATTCCCCCGATAAAATAGACTCTGTTTTTTAATTAACGGTCTTCGTGGATTCACTTGTGAATGATCTTCATTTTTACATTATTAATACTGGAAGATATATTTCAAGTGCAAGTAACAAAAGTTACAAATAAACAACACCAAACTAACCTCACTGTCATCAAGTTAATTCTGATTCATAGTGACCTTAGAGGACAGAATCTCCCCATAGGGTATTCAAGTCTGTGTCTCTTTACAGAAGCATACTACATCTTTCTCCCAAGGAACAGCTAGTGGGTTTGAACCATCAACCCTCAGGTAAGTCCAAGCACTTACCTACTATACTACCAGAGCTCCTTAAACAGTACCATATAACCTATTTAAAACACAGATAAAGTCAATGGATTCCTTTTTTATTTTACTTTAGTCATTCATTTATAAACACTAAATAGCCTATTAGTACCAGAAAACAGCTACAAGTCTTCATGTTAACTTCACTTAGGCTGGTGAATGAGGGGCACTTATCTATGGTAATGATGATCCTGAAAGCAAATTTCTACTTGGAGAGCTAACTGTGACCCACACTGACCCAAATCTGGAATGAATGAGTGAATGAATGAATGAATGAATGAATCCACAGGGACTAGTTAAATAATTTTGTTTGGATCCCAGATGATCATGAAGCTGAGGCAAAGGATGAACTGGTGAGTCATCAGATGCTCGATATATTGTAATCTAAAGGAGTTCTGATGTGGCACCATAGGATAAGCACTTAACCTCAATGTCAGTTTGAACCACAAGGTCAGCAGTGCAAACTCACCAGCTGCTCCTCAGAAACCCTATACAGGGTCACTATGAGTTGGAACCAACTCCACGGCACTTAACAATAACAACAATAGAATGAAAAGTTAGTTTCAAAATACAACCCACAGATCTCATGTACACCATGTTTAATAAGCAGTACATCTCTCTATTCAAAGCCAGTCCTGGAGGAAAAAAAAGAGGCAGTATATATTACCACTAATTACTGTTTCTTTATTATACTGAGGTCATGCCCCAGATAGGAACTTAGTTCCCATCCACCAAGTGCTAAAGTCTGTACAACACTAGAATACGTATGCTTGTTTAATTGATACAAAGTAAATGACACAGGATGATTCTGCTATAGGAAACCTCAAGTATGCAATGAATGAGTCATTTTGCACAGTGGTGTTTTCTGAATGAGTAAGAGCTTTACACAGCAAAATAGCTCCAGGGTTAATTATTTGGGGTGTAAATATTTCCAAAATATACTGCCTATATCCCTGTCTTCTTAAAGTTTAAAAAAAAAAAAAAATGAACACATCTTTTTTAGGTAGAAAGTAGATTTAGTAGTCATCAGGGGATGCAGGGAGGGGAGAGGGGTTAGTTACTGTTTAATGGATACAGAATTTCTGTTTAGGATGATGAAAAAGTTTTCAAAATTGTAATGCTAGATGCATACACACACATACAACTATCTTTTATGATAGTTCACTGCCATTTATTGTAAACAATGATTATGTTGTTGTTATTATGTGCCATCAAGTCAACTCCCATTCATAGCAACCCTGTACAGAGTTTCCGAGGAGCAGCTGGTGGGTTTGAACTGCCAACTGTGTGGTGAGTAGTCCAATGCTGATCCTACAGTGTCACGCCATTCTTGGTTGATATTATTATACAGTGATGCCTGCAGGGTCAGCTGATTATCATCTCTCCCCTAGTCCCCATTTCTGTGTCTAGAGTTACTGTTTTTCTGTCTCTTCTAGTTGTCAGACTTCTGAAGGCCACTTTTCACTGCTGCTTCCAGCAGCCCCTTACTACACTAGAAAGTTGCTACTCCTAATTTGTATTATTTTCTAAGTTAAAAAATAAAAAAGATTTGGAATTGTATCTGAAAAAAGAGTATGTTCTGAGAGAGGTTCTGAGGAGTCCCCTGAACTTATGCTAAGGAGGACTTTCTACCCAGTTCCTGATTTGTGGCTGGTTTCCACATACGGCCAGAACAGCAATGCAGACTTAGTACACCAGGGCAAATCTTCTGTTCTTTATTATCCCCATACTCCAAAAGTCAAACCATCATATGAGCTCATTAATGAAGTTCTTCCCTGCCATCCAACAAAACAAGTAGGAAAACTCACAAGCAGAGAAAATGTCTACATTGAAAGATTAACCCAAAAACTGGAAAATGTTTCTTTCCCTATCTTCACAATTATCCATTGCTGTCAAGTAGATTCTGACTACAGGAACCTTGTTAGATAGAGTAGAACCGCCTCACTGGGTTTCCAAGGCTGAGGAGTCCTGATGCGATGCTGTAGGATAAGCACTGGACTGCTAACCACAAGGTCAGCAGTTCAAACCCACCAGCCACTCCTTATAAACCCTATAAAGGGCATTGTAGGATAAACACTAGACCACAAAGTTGGTTTGAACCAAAAGGGTGGCGGTTCAAATCTACCAGCTGCTCCTTGGAAACCATATACAGGATCGCTGTGAGTAACAACGGACTCAACGACACTTAACGAGTCAGAAATGACTCAACAGAACTTAATGACAACAGCAACAATTTTTACAGAAGCAGACTGCCATATCTTCCTTCCCCAGAGCAGTTGGTAGGTTCAAACCACCACCAACCTTTCAATTAGCTGTCAAGCACTTAACCACTGCACCACCAGAGCTTCTTTATCATTACAGATTAGTTCTCTATTTTGTATGTCTACAGTAGCAGCACCAAAAAAAAACCCCACATAGTTTCCTTACACAAATAAATAGGGTTTTAAAAACCTTTTTGAGAAGAAAAATTATGAAAGGATTACAAAAACCCTAAAAGTTAAAGGTTCCAATTTTTTACTTATTAAATCATATCATTTTTAAACTAGGTAACTTCTTTTTAAATCATAATTATTAAGTAGCTTCTTTTTCCTATTATGTCTTTTACTGCTTTACTTACTCACCTGATGCTCAAAGTGAAAACAACAACTGTTGCTCCAACATTAGATGAACCTAAATATTAACCATCATTATTTCAAATATTCCCTGTTAGCACTTTAGTCAAGCAGTCAATGTAAATTACAGAATTTAAATCTTTTACACTCCATAAAATAAACTTTTAAAAAAGGGGCCAAACCCATTGTCAAATCAATCCACAAAGATTTCTATACACTTACTTGTCAAGTCTGAGAGAGCAAAGCCAAGCAGGTGAACCAGGCTACCAGAAAAGCTATTCTGTGACATTAAGGACTGAAGCAAAGAGAGGAGACCATCAGTTATCCTGGTGACTTTTCCACACCCTTAGAAGGAGGCTGGCCCATCTGCTATTTATAACTATGGAGCTGAACTGAAGGAGGCCTGTCGCTGCCACACTTGTGAGGCACTTGTGAGTATGGGGAGGGCTGTGAGGCTGGGGCTGAATCCCTGCCGAGCCTGTGGAATCTCCCTCAGGATGGCCCTCCATACTTGGCAACACAGCATCCTCTGGGTGCAGTCCTGTCTGGTCAGGAAGTGGACTGAGAGGATTTCTAGCGGTCACTTCCAGCTGCCGATTCTATATATGGAAACATCCCATTCTAGTGTTTTCAGCATCATAAGCACCAAACCGCACCAGCCAGCAGGCTGCTGTCCTGAAGGCCCCCCTCCCCCATCCCACCCCCACCCCCCTCGTGCCCTAGACTAGGCCTTGTCATCAAATGGCAGCCCAGATCTCTGCTGAGTCTTGCAGGCTCTCAGCAATACCATGGAACAGCTGAGAAAGGACCCTGAATTCTTTTCTCTGTGTAAACACTGGGGCTCTGTTCACCCTTCTGCTGCAGCATGGCCTAAAGAATTTCCCCTATCCAAAATCACAACCGACAGATCCTTCCCCGCCCCCTAATGCTCCGCTCCCCAAGATATCATTTCAGTCTGCAACCACCAGTGTTAGCAAATAGCAAACTGCTGAATAGTTGAAATTTATTCACTTTCTATCCTGGCTCCTGTGTCTGTAAATACTAGTAGGCCAATACGAAACAATTCTGCTATATTCAGTAAAGTTTCCTAATAAAAAATATTAAGGACCCCAAATCATGCCTATTCTTTCTTCGACCCCCTTTCTCTAAATTCAATATAGATAATGTCATGACTGATTAAGTGTAACTACACAGCATACATAATGCAAATGTCACTGTACTAATATGTAGCGTCACCTACATATTATTCTGAAGACAGAGCTCAAAGACCGGAAGATCCGTCAGGACACATGAATAATATAATTGGATTTTCCTTGGTTTCCTCAATATAGCCTTATCAAAGCCTGGCTTCTGAAGGGCAGTCCCGGGTTTCTTCATGTGTTGCTGAAATCCAGCGAGCCACGTTGCCCAAAAGAAGGGGGAGGAAAGCCCAGAAAATCCAGACTCTACGTGACCTGACTTACTTATTTCCCAGGAAACTGCATGAGAGAAAAATCAATCATTCATGCTACCGTAGCTACCACAGGAATGGATTGAAGGAGTTCAGTGGGCAAAACACCAAAGCCACCAGCGGAGGTAAGTGGGTGGTGAGGATACGGAAGGAGAGTGGGGAAGAATGCTAAGGGCCCCTGGGGCCCCATGCCGTCTCCTGGTCCCCCGCAGAGCTAGGGACTGCGGCCGGCGGGGAGGGGGGGGGCGGGTCCCACATAAGGGGCTGGGAAACGGGTGGGGCAGAGGTGACCGCCCGCGCACTTACCGGGGCTGTTGGCCTCGCCTTCCAGGACGTGCAGCTCCGCGCAGTCGGCCAGCGAGTGCTCCAGGCAGAGCTGGAGGAAACGGGCCTGGGTCTGGCTCACGCGCTTAAGCAGTGACAGCAGCGCAACAGTCTGCTCACACTCATTCCAGCCCTTAAACCAGCCCGCCAGCACCCCGACCTGGTCGCGAAACATCATGGTTAGGGGGCCGCCCTCAGTCTAAAAAGCCCCTTCGGCACCCCAGTTCGCCCCGCCCGCCCCAAAGTTTGGAGGAGCCGCAGCACCGCGCGGCCGCGGGAGACGTGTTCCTGTTCCAAGGTGGCCCCGGCGCCTGGACGCTGCAGGTACTCCCTCAGCTCCTGCCTCTCTCGTCTGGTTTCAGTAACGTTCCGGTGGTTCTAGCTGATTTCTCCAGGGACGATGACAGACAGTAGCACGGAAATGTTTCTTTAAAAATAAAAAATTTCTTTAATTCCCCACAAGGCACATAACTGAATGAAGAATGCTCTCCTTTCCCCCTTTCTCGCAGCTTGGAGACGGTGATTTCCGGCGTCCCGGGGTCTCCTTCCCACTGGGCTGCAGCTAGGACTCTTCACACCCGCATTCCCGAGGAGTGATCAACACTGGAAGGAAAGAAAGGGATGCAGTGAGACCTCAACCAGCAAGGGAGTGTGTCCCGGGAGATGAGTGTATCTGAGGGTGCCGGGGCAGTTGGGAGGGTGCCCCGCAGGAGGTTTGGTCCCCCAGATTCCAGTCGCCCCCTCCACACCCGAATGCGGGAGATGGGCTATCCCCGTTCCGGGAATGGCGAGAAGCCAGGTGCTGGAGGGGACCCAGCAGTTTCCTGTTGCTGCTGCCGTGAACGACTGGCGCTCTCCCCGTGTGCCCCACCCGGGGTGGCCTCCAAGGCTGTGCTTGCGAACGCTAGTGCAGCAACAGATCTTCCCCGCTCAGAAAACTTGCAATGCGGCTGCGAAGGGGCGCGGGGGTGGGGGGTGGGGGGCGCTAATGCAAAGCAGAGGCGGAGGCAGTAGCAGCCAGAGTTCCTTCCTCCTCCTCCCAGACAAGAAACCGTGCGGCTGCAGCTCCATCTACAGCAACAGCCAGCATCTCCATCACCAGGCTCCCCTCTGGATATAGGCCGTGAGCAGCCGTGGCAGCAGCTCGAGACAAAAATAAACTCTCCCCACCCAAAGCTCCGAGCTCAACCAGCGGCGGCGCAGCCCCGAGCCCCAGCTCCCTTGCGCAGCACCGCGCAGCACAGCGCCGCGTAGCTCCAGCCCACCCAGGAGCTCACCGCGGGCCTGCTTCGCCAGGCGCGTTAGCTGTGTGCGTGTACGTGCGTGTGTCTTAGGCACCATGCTCCCATCGCCACTGTCTGGCCCACCACCTCGCCAGCTCGCGGCACAGCCCGGTGGCTCCCACAGCATGCTGGGGCCACCTGAACCGCAGCGCGGCTCCCCCAGCTGGCAGGGCGGCTCCGCCGAGAATGCGATTTTGCACCACCAGCACACACCCCCAAAGACCGCAAAAAAGAAAGTTCAGCATCGGGATCTCCCCTCAGTCCTACCCCAGTCCCCTCGGCCACCGGCTAAGGAAAGGAGAGCCTAATGCTTCAGCCCTCGAGGGGTGATTCTTAGCTTTCAGCTTCGCGGGCTCCCGGAACTTCTTTGATGGATGGTAGGGAAGCCCCCTGAGAAGGGACCCTGTCCCCTGTGGGTCCCCCACAGGAGCATAGGGGAGGATCGCCCCGCTCACCTCTGCGCGGCTCATCCCGACAACTCGGGGCCCCACTGGCGGGTCCGGGGCAGCAGCGGCTCTCAGAAGGGTTGGGGGCGCCCGGAGCGCGGGCCACGAGCCATGCCGTCGGGGCGGGCGGCGCTGGGGGAGTGTGGCGCTGCGGGTTGGGACCGCCGCCGCCGCTGCTGCTGCCTCCAGTGTCGGCTCGAGGAGAACTGAGCTGCCCAAGCCGGAGCTCCCCACATGCTACTGATTAACATACACCATTACATCATGGGCTTGGCAGGGAGCGCCTGAGAGGGGGGGAAAGGAACCCGGGAGGCTGCGGCACGAGGGGGGGCTTGGGGGGAGGATCCCCGGACAGGCGAGGGGGGGAGCGGATTCCTAAGTGGGGGCCAGAAGGGGGGAGGGGAGCGGAGAGGGCGGAGCCGGATGGCACAGAGGAGTCGGGTTGGAGGAACCACGGGGCGGAGGGAAGAAGTTTGGGGAAGGGGAGGGGTCTGGGGGAATTCCTCCCTGCCGCCGCCTGCGCCTTCTGGAGGGGTCTGGGTGCTCTAGCAGCCTGAGGCCCGGCCGGAGGGGACACCGCGGGTGCTTGAGTGGGGGCGATGTGGCCGGCCACCAACTGCTCGTCCTTGGGAATGTGGTCGGTTGACTCAGTGGCCCTTGTGCCCTGTAGGAGCTCGGGGATAGCAGATCAGCACGACTTGCAGACAGCGGAGACCCAAAACCACTGCCTCCTTCGGCGGGGACAGCGTCCAGGGTTCGTGCACTTGTGTGGCTTAGAAGGTCTAGGGTTCATGTGCGGCAGGGCTAGATGTTCCTGGGCGCGGGGTTCTTATCCGAGGAATATGAGCACTGCCCACCCCCGCCCTGGCCCAACCACGTCTCTCGGCTCCGCTTGGGTGCTGGAGGCTGTTTGCTCCCCGACGCTTTGGGGCCTTGTTCCTCGCTAGGGAAGCGGCCTGACTTCTGGGCCTAGCCCCCGAGCGAGGCCAGGTGCTGAGGCAGCTGCCTGAAGTCGAGGTGAGCGCCGCCCTACGGGGCATGGAGGCGGAACGAAACCACCTGTTAGCACATCAGAGTTGCCGGCAAGGCAACCTTTACGTGGACCTGCACCTGGCCAAGGCCCCAGCAGGGGGCTTCAGAAGTCCTCAGTGGGTGCACCTTACTTGTTCCACTGTGGTCATTGGTTAAAAAATACCCTAAAACGTAAAAATTATTCTACCTTTAAATACGTGTTGAATAATCACAGGAGAACTTGATGATCAAATTCGGGCAATCTCTGTGTTTTCACAGAGCCCTTGAACATTTTTCTCCAGCCACTTAAAGGTTTGCTTATTAAAGAATACTTCAGAGAGATTAATTAAGGCTAACTCTCACTAATATAGTATTTTGAAGATGTGCCGTTGAATTGGTTCTGACCCTTCGCGACCTGTATAAGGTTTTTGAGAATCGACCGGTGAGGGTGAAACCGACCGTATGAGTGGTTATCCTACAGGGCCACACCAGAACTCATCTGGGAGATAAGGTATCGGAAATATTATTCCACTAATTAACACTTTTGTCTTTCTACTCCAACATATATCCCTGGAATTTCCATCTCTTCTTCTTTCCCTCTTAAAGTGTAGTGTCTGCAACGCTTAGGTTTTGTCAGACATCACCTAACTAACCATCTGTTAGGGTACAGAAAGGTATCATGGAGCTGCAAAAACTGGGTGTTATGGGTAAACTAGGTTGTGGATTTTAGAAGGAATTCATTATTAACTAGACAGGAACGATATCTATATGAAATATTGAGTGGATATTTTGTTGTATTTAGAAGTAGTTCTGAAGACAATATTTTATTCCTTTGTTTTGTTACTCTAGAGGCAGACAAGCCTGGCGTGTCATTATCTTTAAGACATCAGTATCAATTAGCTAGTCCTTACTAATAACTTTTTATCAGGAAATGAGTAGGAAGATTAGAGTATGGGATTCCTTGTATATTTGTTGTTGTTGTTATGTGCCGTGGAGTCGGTTCCGACCCTGTACAGGGTTTCCAAGGCTGTAAATCTGTACGGGAGCAGAAAGCCTCATCTTTCTCCCATGGAACAGCTGGTAGTTTCAAACTGCTGACAGTGAGATTAGCAGCCCGATTTGTAACCACTGCTATAAATTGTAGCCAAAGTAGGTGTTCATCCCTCCTTATCTGTTGCTTTGGAAGCCCCCCACGTGTGCTTTAAAGGGAACATTAGTTTCATTAAGTTATTTATTATCACCTGCAGCTTACTAAAGGAATAGTAAAGCAAAAAGAGAAGCTCTTGAGCTATTAAAGAACTTTGATGTTGGTGAAAGAAAGTACTGCCATCTACTGGGAAAGTGTGTACTTACAGCAGTAGCCTTTGACATTCGAAAAGATCTTGATTTAAGAAGTTTTGAACATTCACTTCAGAACATTCTTTTCTCTTTTTAAAAACTTTTAAATTATGAATTTAGTGAAGATTTACAGACTAGATCATAAATTTTACATTTAACACTATGTACACACTTTCTTTCATGTCGTTGATTGCAATGTCTTCAATGAAACATCTGTCTTCTCCTTGTAGTTCCACTCCTCCTTAGTTCCTAGCCCTTCAGAATTTTGTCCTTGGTTAAATGCTGCCTTGTCCCTTATCTCAAGTAGTTGATAATCCTAAGGGGTGTGACCTCATTAGTGTTATTGTTTCCCTTATAGGCCTATCATTTGACTGAAATATGAGCAATGGGGGAGAGTTCATTTCTACACCTGAAGGTTTCACCCATCTCTATCCCACCAGTTGTTGTTAGGTACCATTGCATGGAGTTGGTTCCAACTCATAGCGAGCGACCTTTTGCACAACAGAAGGAAACACTGCCCGGTCCTGCCCTTCCTGCGCCATCCTAACAATTGTTGCTTCTTCCATTGTACCAATCCATTTTGTGGGGGTCTTCCTCTTTCTTGCTGACCCTCCACTTTATCACTTTATCACTTTTCCAGGAATTGAGTCCACCTGATAACATGTCTGAAGTAAGAGAGATGAAGTTTCGCCATCCTGGCTTCTAAGGAGCATTTTGGCTGTTTTTCTTCTAACACAGATTTGCTTGTTCTTCTCTAATCCCTGATATTTTCGATACTGTCTTCCAGCACCATAACTCACATGCAGCATTTTTTCAATGATCTTCTTAATTCATTGTTGAACTTTCACATGCATATGAGGTGATTGAAAATACCATGGCTTGTTAGCTTTAGAACACTTTAAAGAAGTCTTGTGCAGATTTGCCTAATGTAATATGTCCTTTGATTTCTTGACTGCTGCTTCCATGAGTGTTGATTGTGGATCCAACCAAAATGAAATCTTTGACAACTTCAATCTTTTCTTTCATTTTGTTGTTGTTTTTAAGTGCCATCGAGTCAGTTCTGACCCATAGCGACCCTGTACAGGGTTTCCGAGGCTATA